GTGACAACTCACAAAAGACTATTTTTAGCCAAGCAGCACGGAGAGCCGCTTCAGAAACGTGCCGCGGCTAGACACAAGCATTAGATCGGCCAAGTGTAGTGAGTACCGATCGAGTCATAAAATGTGGTTATCGGCCGATACCGATCTCCGGCCGATTGATCGGAGCATCCCTAATATATATATATTACATATATTATTATTATTATGTCTAGAATTTGTGATCATTCTAAATGTATTTTAATAGACTGAATCATGCAGTGAAAGAAAACACACTAAATGCGCACACGCACTAGTCTAGGCTTCACGTAATGTATGCGTGCGCTCTGTAGGGATGTTTTGAATTATCGCAGACGATATATATCGCACACCCCTAGCATGCGAACATCAATATTGCGTCCTTTTTCTCACGCTGAACAACAATATTTAATGTATCTGCATTACTGTAAGGGTAGGTTAGGGTTATGGTAGGTGTAGACATTAATAAACCATAATTTTACAGGCAGCATTTTTCATTGTCGAATTGTACTACCCACTGTTTTAATGGGAGGTAGCAAAATCTGACAGAACACCGTCCTCCACTTTGTGACAACTCACAAAAGACTATTTTTAGCCAAGCAGCACGGAGAGCCGCTTCAGAAACGTGCCGCGGCTAGACACAAGCATTAGATCGGCCAAGTGTAGTGAGTACCGATCGAGTCATAAAATGTGGTTATCGGCCGATACCGATCTCCGGCCGATTGATCGGAGCATCCCTAATATATATATATTACATATATTATTATTATTAACAGTTCGTTCTGGTTCTCAAATCTGATTGGTTGTGAACCGTGAGATATTGTTCTGGTATCGCTACAGGAATGCCCTTTCACAATTGTGTATCACTCCGCTTGTTCTAGCTGGGTCCGTTTTTTTTTTTTATAATTCACTGAGCTAATCGTAGAGTACGTTAATTAATAGAAAAGACTATTTTTAGCCAAGCAGCACGGAGAGCCGCTTCAGAAACGTGCCGCGGCTAGACACAAGCATTAGATCGGCCAAGTGTAGTGAGTACCGATCGAGTCATAAAATGTGGTTATCGGCCGATACCGATCTCCGGCCGATTGATCGGAGCATCCCTAATATATATATATTACATATATTATTATTATTAACAGTTCGTTCTGGTTCTCAAATCTGATTGGTTGTGAACCGTGAGATATTGTACTGGTATCGCTACAGGAACGCCCTTTCACAATTGTGTATCACTCCGCTTGTTCTAGCTGGGTCCGTTTTTTTTTTTTAATTATTCACTGAGCTAATCGTAGAGTACGTTAATTAATAGAATAACCGTCTAGCTTCGCGGTCTCTCTCTCTCATTTGGATGCACGTCTTGCCGCATTGTTTCTCTTATAACCTCATTATTTCTCACTAATAACCTAACTGAAGCAGCACATGCCCTTGATACGAATTCTAAAAGTGACATGTTTAACTGTCAACTTGAGCTTTGAATCCGTGGCGGAAGGAAGTAGTTCTGCACAAAAGAGTGTTTTAATTAGGCACTCCGTTGTTTCTGGTTTAATTACACACGTTCCGTCGAACTGTAGTATAAACGCAATATCACTCAAGTACGAGAGCGATACCTGCTCTATATCAGCGGCTGTGATTGCCTCCGGCATCGCTCTCGTACTCGAGTGATATTGGCCACATACACACACAGTACTGTGCAAATGTCTTAGGCTATTAGTATTTTCACACACACAAAAATGGTTTTAATGTGCCCCTGTAATGCCTTTTCGAATATTACCTTTCATGCAGTGTGTCATGTAGTTGTATGTGAACAAACTATCTGCAAATTTGTGAAGCCGACAGTGCATGATAAATAAAGTTATTGTCTATCTCAAAAAAAAAAGAAAAAAGGTAGGATTCTTGAAGTGTCTTGGAGATGTTGCCACAGTTCTTCTGGATTTAGTCTGTCTGAGGTTTTTCTGTTTCTTCATGTCATTCCAGATGAACTGGACGATGGCGAGATCAGATCTCTGTGTGGAGCACTGGCTGTCGTCAGACTCCTTGCGCATACAAAAATCTCACTGGATAACTACAATTAATGGCAAAAGGAATGTTTGGAAATGCAAACTAATATTTCCTACTGACACACTACAGCAAAATATAGAAATAACTGGCTTAAAACCATTTTTTTTGTTGGTGAAAAAACTAAAGGCCTAAGACTTTTGCGCGCACACACACACACACGTTAAATATTAAAAAATATAATTTTTTTTAAAGAAATCTTTAAAGTGACTTTTTCCATTTCAATGTCTGACCCAAACGTTCCATGCAAAGTGAAAAAATAAATATTGCTTACCACCACCACCTCTACCTCCTCGAAATCCTCCTCTACCACCCCGGTCTCCTCCTCTTCCTCTTCCTCCAAAGCCTCCTCGACCACCACCACCTCCTCTTGGGGTGAATCCTGTAAAGAGGAATCCAACATTAATTCATTCTGATGTTCAGCTTCAACTAACCCCTTATATTAGAAAAACCTTTAGTTAGAACAGTTTTCACAAAGAAAGCCATTAGAGATAATACTATTCTAAACCATGGCTGCAACTGAGCTCTGGTCTTTAAACGCCCTCAACTCGACTCCACAACTAACTCTATACAAAGTTCAATTCCATTCACTGGTAACTTTAGTTTGTGTGTAATATGTCTTTGCTGCAGGTTGCCGAATGAACCAAAACTAGGTTGTGGACAGGCATAAGGTCTGACAGGCGAGGTTATTTCCTAAACCCATGTGGTCCTCAACAACGTGTGGAACCTCAGCCATGAAAATAAACATTGTGCACAATGTCCAGCCAAAATCAGACGAATAAAAATTACAAATTTCAATAATAAAAACAACGCAGCTAAGTATACAAGATGAATCTTAGAAACAATAACGTTGGCTTATCTAGTTTAGAGCCATGTGGAGCTTCCGCACCGCGTGCGCAGCATGACTCGGTTGCTCGCACGCGCAATGTTACACACTGCAAGAAATATCATAGCCTACACTGAAACAAGGTTTTTATGAGACCACACTAACATGTTTAAATACAGTAATAAAATAACAATGTCATAACATTTCATAGAAAGAGCGTGTCGTACACAAGCTTTAAGCGCGTGGCTAACTTGGCCGGAATGTTCACGCGCGAGCAAAATCAACACTTATATAAATACATACATTTTATCGCGCGACAATCAAAACAACCTTATACGCATACAAAACTATAAATAACTTACCTGGTTTCATTTTACTTTAGTATATATGGCTAATCCTGATTTAATTAAACAAATAGCTGCCGTTTATACACTCCACTGCGTCTCCTCCAGACTCGCTCAGCACTGATCAGGATGCCACATGTGCGTCAAACGTCTTTTCCCATAATGCACTTGCAAAAAAAAGAACGTTGCTCTTGTTCGTTGTCCCGCCGTCTAGTGGGAGACTTTGCAACTACAATACAATCATTCAAGTTATTTTATAGAAATACAATTTGATGCAAGTGTATGAAAGACTACACTGTTTTGTACATATTAGTGATATTGCCACTGTAATGATAGCATGTTTTTGGACAGCCAAATGGAACAAGTCATCTGGGTGTCCACAGACTTTAAACCAAAACTCAAAGGACTTCATTTACGAGGAATCACCAGAGGTGTATCTGAAAACCATACTTGAGTAAAAGTACAGTTATCTTACAGGGCACATCAACTACACGTTACAAGCCACCAATTGCAAAACAACTCGAGTAAAAGTCTTAGAGTAGCCTATCTGATTTATCTAACAGTACTTAATTATTTTACTTATACTAAATATAGGCCCAAAGATGCACTAGTCAAAGAGACATACCAGTGAAAAACAAGAAAGAGCTCTGGCAACAAAAACTATTTGTTTCAATATTGTGGCTAAACCCGTGCGGATGGTTATTAGATCATTTTTAGGAAAAAAATGACCAAGGTCACAGGGAAATATTTCTTTGAGGGAAGAACTATGTAGACTAATGCACTGCATGATTCACTATTCCTTAAAGATTCAGTTCTAGTAGTGTAGAGGCCATGGAGAGCAGTTAATCTCACTCTTAAAAACTCTTGAACTTGTTTTTCTATGTGTATGGAGACATCACCAACTGGAAATCATTAGGGATAAGTATGATTAGAGAACATTGTTTGTACTCTGCCATGCATTAAACAATGACCCAACTGGACGTGCTTTAGTTGCTTATACCATTGCACATCATAATACTGGGTTTAAAGCTGACAAAATGCAATGTAGACAGAGCCAAACTATGACACAAACCGGTTTAAATGCCCCCTGAATGCCCCCTGAGTGAGCCGAGGCCGGCGGATTCGACGAAGGAGCAGGCGGCGGGCTTGCGGCAACCACATGTGACGACCCCGGGCTGGACACAGCGCGAAGTTGATGTATTCCCTGAGCGACCAGCACGGATCAGCTCCAGACATGACGAAGCAGGTATTGTCCTCTTTTGGAAGACCAAACAAAGTAGTTTCACTTTCACAACGAAACACACAGCGTCTTTACGACATGGCGGCGGCAACAATACTACAGCGAGAATAAAAGTTACGCCTTCTTTCTTTGCGTGAACATTTGGGCGGCATTATGCAAAGCTTCCCACATTGTGATGTAGACATGTGGGGGCGTGTTAGAATGAGCCGTTTTAGGTAGGCGTGGCTGACTCTTAACTTTTATAAAGAATATCTCTTTGGATTTGAGACTTTAGTCTTTGCAACTTTACAGATCTTCTTTATGCACCAAGAGCTTGTAACACTCCAAAGAGAAAGGACAAATTGAAATCGTATCATATGACCCCTTTAAGTCCTGTATTGTGGTAATGTTTTAGTATAGGCTAATCATACATAAAATTCATCTTTTTGTAGGGGGTTGTAGATGACTGTATGTAGTTTTAATTTATAATTCTTATTTCATGTTCTCATAGAAACTCAGTACAGTGCATGTCTGAGAAGGATAATTTTTTTATTGAATCGCTAAACAGAAACATTTGATTAAATCTGGTGTTTAAAAAATAACAAAACAAAAAAACTAAAGAAGAGCTATAAATAACAGTGAGGGTGTTTCTCAAGCAGAAATATTAATGATAAACAGAAGATATGGAAAATGACTAAACCAAATAGTAGCTACAGTACATTTCATACATTTCAAATAAAATGAACAAGCAACAATTACATTGTGCGCTCTGGTTGTTGGGTGTTAATATCCAACTTTTAGTGTTTGTGTTACATATCCATTATTCGAAGAAATGTATCACTTCATTAACTTCATGTTTGTTTGTTTGCTTTTTTTACCAGCAGTTTCACACAGAAAATGCTAGGGAAGCCTGTTTCTGCCACGAGATAAAAAATAAAAAAGGAAATTGCAGCTTTATATCTCACAATCCAGACTTTTTTTCTTGGAATTCTGAGGAAAAAGAAGTCATAATTGCAAGATATAAACTTCTGACCTTTTTCCCTTGCAATTCCAAGTTTACTCCTTGCAATTCTGAGTTTAGGCTATATCTCGTAATTCTGACTTTTTTTTCTTGTAAATTCCAAGTTTACATCTTGCAATTCTGTTTTTTTAACCCGAAATAAAAAAAATGAAAGAAAAAATAATCACAACTTTTTATCTCACTTATTACATCTCGTAAATCGGACTTTTTTCTCAGAATTATGAGTTTATATCTCGTAATTCTCAGTTTATATTCTCAGAACTGTGCGAAAAAAAGTTAGAATTATGATGACTTTGTTTTCTCACAATTGCAAGTTTATATCTCACAATTCTGACTTTTTTTCTCAGAATTGCAAGAAAAAAAGTCAGAGTTGTGAGAAGTTCACAATTCCCCCTTTTTTTTGTTATCCTCTGGTGGAAACAAGCTTTCATAAAATGCTGTAGTGTAGCTAAAAGCACCATCTGAAACTAAATCTTAATCTCTATAAATAAACTGGATTCAAAAATACTTAGTAGCTCAGTAGCGTGTTAAGCACTCAGCTGAGAATATATACATCTTATTTAAATAAACTGCATTTAAATTCAAGCTGAAAGAGGTTTTAAGCATTTTTGCGCCTGAAGTTTAAAAACCTCACCATATGCACTTTTGTTCTATTCTTGAAAACAATTAATAACAGTACCAGTGTGGGGTCAATGACAAAATGTAGATCTACAGGCCTATAGATTTTCAACTATTCCTCAGTTTATGTGGTGTTTATGTGGCTGAATTGAGTTTTTGTATCTCTGTATATTTCCTTCTGCCACACAGGGGCAGCAAAAGATTTCAGATTGCAATGTGTTAACTTATTCTTGCACACACTCCATTCTGCTTCTTCTTCTTCTTCTGCCTTGGTCTCCTCCTCAGGCATCTTCTCTGGGCTTGGGGGCTCTCCCAGGGTTGCTGGAGGTGAAATAGGGGGCAAAGGTACAGCTTCCCCTTTCTTTGCCAGTTCTGCTAGCTCACGAGCGGAGCAGGAAGGGGTTGGTGCAGGGTAGGTGTGGTGGAACGTGTCATAATCCACCTCGTAAAATCCCTCCTCCAGCGAGAGCACAGGGGTGAAACGTTCTCCCCAAAGCACCTCTGAATTCAGGTACGAGCTTCGGGCTTGACATGTCATTCCTGCGGGAAAAAACAGAGGAAAATGGCAGTGAGCACAGAAAAGAACAACAAAAATAGCAATGAAAAAGGAGGCCTATTCCAAATTACTATGGTGTGGACAACCTATGATGAAAATTACAGGCCTCTCTCATCTTTTTAAGTGGGAGAACTTGCACAATTGGTGGCTGACTAAATACTTTTTTGCCCCACTGTAGTTTATGCATGACACGAAAAATTTGAGACATGAAGCGAAACTCTTGATAAATGCAATCCAAAGTAGGACAAAGAGCAAAATGTGGAATGTTGATTATTTATTTATTTAGAGCTTTACTTGATATAGTGGTCCCAAAACGAATTTAGACACTTAAGGCATAGGTCTACTTATAAATGTATGTAGGGAGAGTGGGGTAAGATGAGCCAGTGGGTAAGTTGACCCACCAACTGTGGGTATCTTGCCAACTGTACACTTTTATTGTCATGTGACCAAATATACTGAAACCACCCACAACACACGGGAGGAGTGGAAGGCACCCAATTAGTTTAAAATCAGTTTTTGGCTTGTCAAAGTTAAATTTTAGCACAACATATGTAATGGCTGTTACATCAAAGTAAATTTATCCAGGTCTAAAAGTATTTATGATGCTACAAAGTGATTTAGCAATGTATAAAACCATATAAATAATTTAGTTAAATTTTAGCCTGGATTAGTAAGCAAGCTAGTTTTTTCCCAAAATGGCAGCTATGGGGCAAAGTGAGCCAAATGTTGTGGGGTAAATTGAGCCAGCATTTTATCTTACCCTACCATAAGGCACTGAAGTTAAGTTAAATCTCTGAAGTATAAACTGGTAGTTTAATGTGATAGTACACAACTGATTTAGTTTATCATATATACATATTATTATTTGTAGTTTATTTGATAGGGACAGTGTACATGTCACAAATTCGTCACCCTTTCCATTACATTGACTCTCGCACAACACAAACTGTTGCATAGCACCCCGGACTACATATCCCATCATTCTTTGCACAATTTGCACACTGCATTGATTGCACTCATTGCACACAGCTGTTTCTAATCACCTCACTCACTATATAACACCCACTCTAACCACCTTTCTCGGCTGAGTATTGTTTAGCCTGTACCCCTTTCCGAGTCTCCATGGTTTCCTTGTTTTGCCTTGCCTGTTTTTGCGGTTTCTGATCTTTGCCTGTTTTCCTGGATTTCTCCCTCTCGTCTCGCCCCTGTGATTCTGTCTGCCGATCGGTGACCTACGCTAGCCCTGGGACTATTCTTGTGTTTTTGCCCGCCATATACCTGTTTGCCATTGTTCGACCCTGCCTGTTATACCACGTCTCTTGAATAAAAGCTTGCAGATGGATCCACACGTCTCGTCAGCCCCGTTACAGTACAAGTGCACCAAATCCATATCTGATAAGAACTAGAAGATGCTTTTCATCACATTATAATCAGATATATCTTTCCACCTGTAGTCCCTAATGGCCTGTTCGGCATTGCAGAAAAGCTACCATGCCAAGACTCTTTTGACTAAATTGTTCATTAGTTTCAGTGACATTTTTTCCTTCATTCTAATTCAGTTTATTATTTTTATTTTACTCAACAAACTCTCGGTTTAGTCTGTTTTTGGGAAGATTACAACTTTGGTGTTAAACATATTGTTTCAGAAATGCAAACAATTAAAGATTGAAATTTTCATTTTGGTTGGTTATATGTTGTTTACATTAGCTTTAAGAAAAGAAATAAGACTGTTTGAAAAAGGAAATTTGATTATTAAATTAG